ATCCAGTGGCGGAGCTTCAGCCTAAACGCAGGAGGGGCCAAGAACGTGCAATCAGAGAAATTACGTGTATAATTGCTTAATTAAGATTTGCTGATTACTGGGAATTTGCAAAAGCAGGGGGTGGCCAAGGCCCACCTTGGCCTTCACTATCCTCCGCCACTGTTAAAATCTGTATTTCTAGTAATTAGGAAGAATATAGGGAATCTCTTGGTCTTACTCTTAAGGCTCCAAACAGGCTTTTTAGTTCATTAGAACTTAAAAATGAACTAAAGTAGTCTAAAACTTAGCGATTAATAGACATATATGGACTAATATTTATCCATTCCCACCTAAGAGTTTGTTCATATACAATGGTTAATTGCTAACTAGCTAAAATTTAGTCAAATTATATGGACTAATTTTTTAGCCGAAGGCACTAAAAATTAGTCAAAGTTATCACTAGCTCATCCAAACAGGGAGATAATAATAGGTGGACTAATTTTTAGCCAAACCTTCAACTAATTGCTAATTCTAGCTTATCCAGACATAATCTAAGTATTGAAATCGTTCGCTTTAATACAAAAAATCAGGCGGTGGGATCAAATCCTAATCGTCGTCTTTTTTTTCCGAACCAGTAGTATATACGAGGTCAAGTTCGGGTAGCGAGCGCCGGCAGTCGCACGGCGGCGAAGGCCAGAGGAAAAGAAAATGATGCACCAACCGGCACATGTGATCGGCTTGACCGAACTGGAAGATGTCAGTCTTTCACGAAACGGTCAGGCTTTAGGCAGACAAGGCAAGCCGTCCAATCAATCATTGGCACCAGTGACTCACACACTCCCTCTGTTTCCACTTTCTCCAGTCCAGAAAATGGCATCGCACCGCAGCTTACACGGTACTACTGTATTATTCTCGTGACCGTGCGTGGCTAAATTTTTATAGTAAATATACTGAGCACACGATAAGATAACAATATTATAAGATATTAAACTGATATTTAATTTAAAAAGGAAAGTTTATAAAATTAACAGTCATTAAGAGCACATTATGAATTCTGTTTTCGATGCGCTTTAGTGCTACATTGACCTGATGTGTGACCGTAACTCTCGCAAGTGGAAGGATTATTAGAAGCTTCTGATTTTATGATGCTAGATTGGTAGATCTGAGCGCCATTGATTTTGTTATTCTGTGGTCTTTCATATAAAAATCATACTCACCATGAAATGTTATTACGATTAGTGAAAAGTTTAATAAATGAAATTTATTGTTTCATTTATCTAGAATAAACTGTCCACATAAAAGCCATGGAATATTTGTTATAATCTGGTATAAATAAATGTGTATTGTCATTGAGTTTCAGTTAATTGTAGAAAAAGATAAGTCATGATGGAGTTGTGCATGAAAAATATATGTTCTAGTCGAATTTGAATTGTAAATTTAAATTTTTTTTACGGAAAAATGTACTGTAGGGACGGTTCTAGACTGAACCGCCCCTACAAATCAATTTATATGGGCGGTATAGGAACCGTCCCTATAAATACATGATTTATAGAGACGGTATGGTAAGGGCGGCTGACCGAGCCGCCTCTGCAAACCATCGCCAGCCGCCCCTACGAATGTTTATTGTAGTAGTGAGAAGCTCTCCAACGGCGTCCTCCCAAGCGGCTTCGGTGGCGAGCCCGGTCCCTCCGGCGAGGGTGGCTACTCTCCCAACTAAGCAGCAACAGGAACAGGAAGGGAGTGGAGGCAGCAATGGCGGAGCGGCGGCGCTCAGTGGAATGGATGTGTTCTGAACCATATCCCCACGCTACTTTTAGGGCCTGTTCGGCAGGACTGAAAAATACTGTTCCGGCTGATTGTTGTGAGAGGAAAATACTGTTCTGGCAGGACGTGAACAGTGGCCCGCTGAGTGGCCTGGGTAGCCCCACCCAGCCGAATAAGCAACCTTTGGGGTTTTCATGTAATTAGCGTTGCATATTGTGTTAGGGATTGGAATAATGTTCAAATGTAATTAGCGCTGCATATTGTGTTAGGGATTGGAATAATGTTCAAAGTATTTGTGCCAAGACTAATCCAATAGCATTTGTTCCCGTTCTGTTTTATTGCAATTATTTAAATTCCTTACATTCTTGCAATACGACACAGAGTTAAGCCAACTTTACCTGTGCAAAGTTGAAATACTTAAATATATGTCACAATCAATTCACGTGAATTAATTAGGCTTAATAGATTCATCTAGCGAATTAGTGGCATAGCTAATTAATTTTATAATTAGCTCGTCTTAGTCCTCCTAATTAGCATCCGAATAATTTTTTTTTACGCATAGCCTCCGAACATTTGATGTGACAAGTGCTAAACTTTAGCACAAGGATTCAAACGCCCCCTTATATTGTGTGAAATAAAGGGACATTACAATATCTGAATCTTTTCACTTGTCAGTGCAATGGCATAATTACCAATCAGCACGGCGATGCACAGCATCCCCGGTGGTATCAGTCTATCAGATCAGGCCCTCTGGAATGGCGCCAACAATGGAATGGGAACGAGGGGAAGGGGGCTAACTCCATCTTTGCTCTCGTCACTTAGGCCAAGTTTAGTTACCCTAAATTCCTGAATTTGGCACTATGCAAAAAGAAGATTCCCCGTCACATCAAACTTGCGGTACATGTATGAAGTACTAAATGTTGACGAAATCAAAACTAATTGCACAGTTTGGTTGTACTTTTTCACTTAAACGAACGTTTTGAGCCTAATTAGTCAACGATTGGACAATTATTACCAAATTAAAACAAAACGCTACAATACGCTACAGTGCTACCGAATTCAGCCGGCGCCGAATCCGGCCGGAACTAAACGCGGCCTTAGGAACTTTGGAAAGAAAGGAATGCAAGGTGTTTTCGAGGTGCGAGCGCCCAGTGCTCAAGCACAGCGCCGAGCTTTGGGTACAAGGCTACAAGCCGGCGCAAGGAACCTAGGTTGTATATTAGTGCGAGTAACACGCCATGTATGCTTCTTGGACGGGCATGAGCTAAGTTGCAAATCTTGTATAGCCCGCAACTTTGTACACAAATTACTTCTATCTTATACAAAGACATGCAAACCTTTGGTACGATCGAGAAAAAAGATCAAGTCCTTTGGAGTATGGACCTTCATTTTTTGACATGCCATCTCCTCTTTTTTTGTAGGCGTTTAATGAGCGGAGGACAAATTTCTTCGAATAACGAGGATATTTTTTTCATTAAAATCCAGTGGCGGAGCTTCAGCCTAAACGCAGGAGGGGCCAAGAACGTGCAATCAGAGAAATTACGTGTATAATTGCTTAATTAAGATTTGCTGATTACTGGGAATTTGCAAAAGCAGGGGGTGGCCAAGGCCCACCTTGGCCTTCACTATCCTCCGCCACTGTTAAAATCTGTATTTGTAGTAATTAGGAAGAATATAGGGAATCTCTTGGTCTTACTCTTAAGGCTCCAAACAGGCTTTTTAGTTAATTAGAACTTAAAAATGAACTGAAGTAGTCTAAAATTTAGCGATTAATAGACATATATGGACTAATATTTATCCATTCATATACAATGGTTAATTGCTAACTAGCTAAAATTTAGTCAAATTATATGGACTAATTTTTTAGCCGAAGGCACTAAAAATTAGTCAAAGTTATCACTAGCTCATCCAAACAGGGAGGTGGACTAATTTTTAGCCAAACCTTCAACTAATTGCTAATTCTAGCTTATCCAGACATAATCTAAGTATTGAAATCGTTCGCTTTAATACAAAAAATCAGGCGGTGGGATCAAATCCTAATCGTCGTCTTTTTTTTCCGAACCAGTAGTATATACGAGGTCAAGTTCGGGTAGCGAGCGCCGGCAGTCGCACGGCGGCGAAGGCCAGAGGAAAAGAAAATGATGCACCAACCGGCACATGTGATCGGCTTGACCGAACTGGAAGAGGTCAGTCTTTCACGAAACGGTCAGGCTTTAGGCAGACAAGGCAAGCCGTCCAATCAATCATTGGCACCAGTGACTCACACACTCCCTCTGTTTCCACTTTCTCCAGTCCAGAAAATGGCATCGCACCGCAGCTTACACGGTACTACTGTATTATTCTCGTGACCGTGCGTGGCTAAATTTTTATAGTAAAAACATGCTGATCATACGATAAGATAACAATATTATAAGATATTAAGCTGATATTTAATCTAAAAAGCAAAGTTTATAAAATTAACAGTCACTAAGAGCACAGCACCGCAGGCACAAACTCTACTATATAGACATTTCTATGATACGGCTAAAATAATATTTTATATCAGCAAGAAGTCTCCGATATTACGAACTAAATGAAGCGATCAAATATATCAGACAAACATTGCTCAATCCACATATTTTGAACCTATTCGACCAATGAAAATGCACAAAATGACTATTATAATAAACTAAATTCATGTTCATCATCTATTCAAAGTGCATGTCACATGCGTGTAAATAATTTCAATATTATTTAGTTCTCTAAATCTATGAGACGCGACACGATGTCCTTAGCAAATTCTTGAACTCGGCGGCATCTGGCTTCATCAACAAGCAGACGATTGCGTAGGCCTATAAACAAATAAAAAACTTTTGGGTCAGTGTTGTAGTCAATAAATTAAATCAATGAATTACCCCAAAAGAACCTCACTTTAAAAATCATACGCCTGATTACAAATAGGACTGAATACCAATTCGTTGAAATCGTCAGTAGTGGTCAATCCGCCTATCATGCATGAGCAAAAAAATGTAATAACTGATACTTTATTTAGTCAATATATATGAGAACATCAGCGATACAATACCTCTCTTTCTATTCATTCGTACATGGAGACCAGCTAAAATGCGCAATTCTAATGCCGCTCGCCGCCATTCCGATAAGTGACGTCATATGTGTGTGTACTTGACGATTATTATGATGCAGTGATACCTACGAGTTATAAAATTGATTAGCATCAAACAATAAAAAATTGATAGCATAGAGCAATGATAAAATTTTCAATCTAAGTACCTTTCATTCATCAGCACCACATATCTGTACGGTCGCATCCACACGTCATCCCTTCCTCGAATATTAGACACATGCACAACTATACCAATGACATCTACAAACACAAACGATAGTTATTGATGGAATAGGAGCATGAATGAACAGTTAACTATGTATTTTTAAATATAGGCGTATGAGGTATACCTATAAAAAAGTACTCAGCTTGAGCGTATACATCCTCGAATTCCATAAAGGTACGAGGACACTGACAAATCCATAGCTCTCTCGGTGGTGCATTAGCTATACTTTGTGGAGATAGAACCACAAAGTAGTCGGCACATAAACAGAAGATGTAGCCTAAAGGACCAACATGAGTAGGCGTGAAGCCAACTCTCATGAAGTCATAACATTCTCCTACACGAACCAAATGGTCGAACCTCATGGTTTGGTCGCCGTACGCAACCGCTTCCATTTTGGTTCCCTGTAAGAATATTAGATCCAACAGATAGATAACAATAGTTTGTAGAAAAAAAATTAGACATGGTCCAAAAAGATGAGCTCAAAATGCACCTACTCATCCTTCAAAATTACACGCAAACATGTATCACCATGGTGATGTCGTACGTTGCCTTTCCAAAAAACCATGGCACTCACATCCCATATGGAAGATGTGTTCCATTCCCACTTCATGGAATTCAACCCATCTACAATCCCATCCGTGTCAATCAAAATGATAAAACACATGAGTAAACCTATGTAAATGTTCGTGCATTGCAACGGAAAAAATATTTACCGGATAGCATATGTTGTAAAACACCAACTTATTAAAGCTGAATCTCATGAGACGGCAGCACATCGCTGGGGCATGGGAGAGGCGACCGACTTGAAGTTGAATGGATCAACCACCATATTGAACCGATCGAGGTGAAGCCGTTGGATGTGGGCGCGACTGCACGATTAGGGTTAAGTCACGACGCGCGATTAGGAATCAACCACCATATGCTGATATAGTTGTGGTTGAGAGCACAACCTATAAAGCAAATATATCAGATAGAGCAAGACATGTTAATTGTATTCTCAAATAAGAAACCAAATCAGACCTTGCCTCTGTTCAAAATTGATTTCTTCAATGTACTAAGATGCATGTTCTATTTCAGGTAGTGTAACTATAAGATACTACGATACATGTTCTATTCCAGGTAGTGTAATAACTAATTCAGAACTTCAAGGATCCAGAGAGTATAACTTGCCTTTACTGTTCTAAAGCAAAAAGCTGCAGAGCGTAATTGATAAGGATCCCATCCTCATCCACTGCGATAGTTGGTTGCAAATCTTTTCTCCCACCAAGCAAAAAGCACTTCATAGTCAGTATAACATATGAGCTATCAAAAAGGAGAACTATAGCACGCCAATAGCATAACGATCAGAGACTCATACACTTTGTACTCAACAAACTAATCCTAAAAAGTAGCAGAATAATACTACAACGTTGCAGGCACTAACTAATAAGGTTATGTGCTCCTCTGTACTACTGAAAATCAGGATAGCATCATCATCATCGCTGAAAAATCTAGCACGAGCTCAAGCTGTTTTTTATCTATGCTTCTTATGATCTCTGCATTGCCAAATCATAGAAAATAAAACAATGTCAAACTATTGTCTTATATATATATATATATATATATATATATATATATCTTGTGTTGGAAAGGGCAGGTAGAAATGAAATCATCCTAATGCAGCTGCTAGCTATTTCATTTGACAGATTCAGCAATTGATGACTCCATTTTCGAGAAAAACATTAGGTATATGGTCATAAGACACTACCTTCTAATCTAGTAGTAGACACTAAAAACATGGACACTAAAATGTTGAAAAGCGACACTTTATAGAATCCAGTAGATTTTCTACCAATAAGCAGACACTTTCACTGACGGTGCTTTCCTGCCACAAGTTCTATTCATCATCGCTGAAAAATCTAGCACCTATATCTGCATGGCTGTTTCAAGTAGACTTTGCATGTACATGGAGACTACTTCTGTTAATCAGAAAAATTATCCGGCCCGTTTCAAACAACAGAGAATGAATAGAACTTGTGGCAGGAAAGGATGCATCCAAGAGGCCACGGTGGAGATTGATTCTTACCAATGGCGAACATCTTGAGGGTTTTCTTTTGGAAAAAAATGGAGGGGGGACAGGGATCAGCAGACCCCTTCATCCTGCTAGGTAGACATGGATTCTTCTTTTCAGTTGTATAGAGATAGAGAGAAGAGAAGAGAGGGACATATATCATTACACATAGTTTTTGAAAAATACAGGAGGTCATATAGCAGAGGGACATTTAAAAAGCACACCAGAGCCCAAAAAATCTTTCAGAAAGATATACATGTAACACCAGAGGAAGGGGTCCAAAACAACTTACACCAAAAGATAGCCGCAAGTGCCAAAGTATAGTCGGCCATGTGGATCGATTCCTTGAATCTCAACTCCTCTGATAGGATTTGCAATATTCCTAGTTCCATCATTCTTCTGTTCTAAACACTCAGGACAATTCTAATCACCTTCAGGCAAAAGATCCTCCACCAACCCCACACATTTCAAATGAAATGCAGCTGGACAACCATCACAGCATAACAAATTGCCATCCAAGCAACAAAGATGACATCCATCACTGTTTGCATCATTCATTTCATCAGAGCTTCTAGAGACAGAAGAATCTGATGTCGCCTTGGCAGATGATCCCCTCCATTTTCTTCTTAAACCAGTGCTTCTAAAGAATAGTTAAAAAGACATGACATAAGTACAAACTTGTATATTGCAAGGAAAGTTTCATGTATGGTTCCAGCCAAGGAACCAGCTATTGTATAGGCAATACTTGACATTCATAGCCATAGAAGAATAGTTAAAACCTATATATAGAAATGGAGAAATCCTGAGTAAAGCAACAGCCTGAAATTGATGATTCCAATCTCCTTCGCCAGCAAGCCTTAGAAAAGTTGCTTTCTTTGGCCACTTCTCCAACCATCTCTGCAGAACAATTATCAACCAAATTTTCAGAACTAAGTAATTTGCAACAACCTAAGGTCAGAAAGAAACTAAGAACGCAATTGCAAGGATATCCGGGCATCAAAAGTTACTAATGAAAGCCAACCGGTCTATTAAAGTGTACTATAAGGTGGTCACACTAAATTGTGCCGATAAATAGATGATGCAACCAGCTCTTCACTCAATTGAACACAATCTGAATAACTCAAGTAAAGTAGGCAGCACACGGCTCGTCATCCTGGATGCATTCAGTTTCTGGTTACCCATGCCAAGCCACATTTATAGAAAGTCCTCATAATCCAAATCACCTAAAATACGAGAGCATTCTCTGGTATGGCAGGACCTAAATGTTATGGACCAAATCAAGAAACTCACCGTGCATATCGTGTTCCTTCTGTAGAAATTTTTTGTGTGTAGTAGCTGGTAGAGATGCCTCCGCCTTTTCTGATCCCTTGAGTGAAACTAATTTAATTGAGAAAAATAAATTAATCGAATGACAATCTCACATCAGGAAAAGGCCCTCCTTGCACAGAGATCATTGTCCAAGCAAATTGGGATTGTCGGCAACAAAAAGAACCATCCCAAGCCCGAATTTGTCTCCAAACCTCGTCACTCACTTACCACTGCGGCAAGAGGATGGAAGCAGCACTCCAGCAGCAACAACCATTACGGCTGGAACCGTAGATAAGAACCAAATCAGTATGGTGAAATCAAAAAGAGGGGAGGGGGGAGAGACAACCTATACCCTGGTTCTGCTGTTTGCCTGGTTCTGCTTTTTGGCTTTCGCCTCGCCTAGGACGCATGTCTGCCGGATCAGGGCACCGGACCACCGGATCGAGGCGTCGGGCCGCCTGATCACTGAATCGCGTCGTCTCAAAGTAGTCGGCGAGGGGAGGGAGTAGCCGCCTCGGCCTGGGTGTGCATCGCTTGGATGAGCTGTTGCGGGAGTGCGATGTGATGGAGTTTGGAGACCGGCGCAGCTCACGGCACCCCGCGGTGACGGCGACTGGTGCGGCACGCGGCAAATAGGGCATGGCGGCGTGGGCAAGCACGGGGAGAGGCGTGCTGGCTCGGCGGCGGCATGGGCAAGCGCGCGGGCGCAGTGGCGTGGGCGAGCGCGGAGAGAGGAGAGGCACGTGCGATGGAGAGGAGAGGCGCCGCGTGATTGGAGGCGGGATCACGCCAGGGAGGTGAGTATAGCCACCGCCGGGTCCACACTTCGCGCAGAGCGAGCGAATTGCCGAGCACAGAGAAAGATCACACGGGCAGCAGGCAGGACGATGGACGAATGTCGCACCAAAAAGTGTCCACGCCTTTTCTTTTTAATTGTAGGAATCATCCAGAGAGAAAGATGCTAACATATTATTTCGACAATTTGCAATCTGGGTAAAAAGATTCATCGGTAACACAACACAATTCAAAGACATCAATTCATCATCTGTTCTACTATTATTATTCTAAACAAGCAATGAACAAGACCCTATCAACTTCTCACCATACCAGAAGGTGTGCAATCATCTTCACCTGGCCCTGTCTGTGTGCATCTAGCCAGTGAGCAGGGCAACAGGTAGAGAGGATTAGCTGAAACTATGAGATAACAAGCAGAGCAATTACATGATTCAACATTCAACAACTCATTACAACACCAACCACGCACCAGCAGGCACACAACACAGGTCATGTTGCAGGCGCTTGATCCATATTCCCCCTGCTGCTCCTGACTTACCATCGACCAGCTGAAGCTTGAATGATGCTAAAATTTTAGTTGCAGAAGCTGGGTATCATGTTCGACAAATATTAAACCTCACATCTAGTTACTGCCAGCACGACATTGTAGACCAAAGATGGGAAGTGTTCCCATATGGAACACTAACAGAGAAGGCCTATCAAGCTGAAAAGATAGCAGCTTCAATCACCATTCTTCCAGCAATCAACTTTGAATGACAGTTCAATATACAACACATGGTATAAATATTTCTGGAGATTAAGAATAATCACTGCAAAGCACGTAAAAGAATGATAGAAATAGAAGATGCCATATCATCCAACACAATGAATGCAACGATTTGGAGGCTTCGGAAACTGACATCCAATTCGTGAGCGACCCACATGTCAATGTGATGTCAAATCTTGAAAGTCTCACAAATTGGGTGTCAAATATCAAAATTTGTCGATGTTTTAATGCTGAACTTCTCTTCTGTCTATGTTGTTTTCCTTTGCCATAGTGAAACAAGACAATCAACTTTGTCCTAAGTCAAGCTTGTCTAACTTTGACCAAGTTTTTATCAAAGTTAGACAAGTTTGACTTGTGACAAAACTAAAACGACTTACAATTTAAAACGGAGAGAGTAGTTATATACACAGATTCTATTTTAGTCAAACAGTCCAGTAAGGTTTAGAGTAGCGCATAGCATCCTTCAATTTTTTTAAAGATTGCTCTAGAACCAGACACAATAGGTGGCTGAGCTAGACAGGACCCAGACCATATTTTAGTTTCAAGCTTCGGTCATAACATGGGAGATTCTTGTAATGGCCTGTTTGTTTCCATGGAATCAAATTTTACTTTAAGAATCAAGAATCACATTCCATTTCAGATGTTAATTGAAGTGTTGCCGCCTGTGAAAGCTTGATGGTAGCAGTGAGGATCCCCTGTACGGAGTTTTCTTGTGTCCAGACTCGTGAGAGAGTAAGGCGATAGGGTCACAGGGGTCGATGAATTTCACTTTCCGTTTCTTACCATCTCTCTTTCCATTTTTTACCCTCTATAAATTCGACACAGGTCTGTACTTCAAATTTGGAAAGTGGTGGAATATCAAATTCTAAGCCAAATAGCCTAGTTCATGAAGTAGATTCCAATTCAACCCAAATGGAAGGAACCAAACGGGCCCTAAGTGTTTGACAAGGGGTTCACACTGCTACAATTTGCATGTCCAGAACTCCAGATTCCAGACTTCATGTTACCTAATTGACTAATAGTTATGGTGCTTATGCAAAATGCAATAAAGCTTACAAAGAACAAATAGACAGCCATGGTATCTACACAAATTTAAGTGCAGAGCTCACACATGCAATAGGACGGGAAACATCTAGAATTTTGAGATAGCATCATTTCTTTGTACCCATTATTTTCCTCAGGGATGTGTATTAATGTATGACAGATGGTTATATGGTTACCAACAACAGGAAAGTCCATTTGTATGCTTTTCTTCTACCTAAAAACATGAACTCTCTAGTCCAAAACTGTACACACCTCTAAATTCAAAAGATAAAAGAGAGATGGTGTCAAAAAGTAATAAAGAAATAACTGCGCTATTTCTTTCGACAATGTGAGTGTTTGATCTCCACATGAAAAGCAGTAGGCACTTTTTTCTGAACTGAATAGCATGAGCTCTTCGACATACCATTTACATCTATTATGTCCAGATCAAGGTATATAAGCCATACAAAATCACCTAGAATCAAGAAAAGAAAAGGTTATATAAGACAGTGTTAGCAGTAAAGTACAAGTCGAGGGTCTAAGACAGGAGTCAGGACACTGACCGATCAATCACAATGCATCTGCACTCTTACCACCTCTCTTGCTAACTACTTCACAGAGTCGACAAGGCAGTGTGTCGAGGCTCATCTCACGTGCCCTGCCAAAGTTGCCCAATATACCACAACGCCTCCAGGCATGGTATTCAGCATAGGCTACAGGGTCATTTGCCAGCATTTTCACATATGATGCCAGTTCTTTGAGTGAGCTGAATTTGGAGGCATCTATGATAGAATTAGGAGGAACAAAATCCCAAACATTGGGTGCCCCAAAGTATATTGGCACTGACCCAGCCTCCAAAGCATAGAACAACTTCTCGGTCACATAACTTTCGGTCTTGGTGTTCTCAATTGCAAGAACAAACTTGTAATGTGACATCGCACAGTGCAGGTGATCCCACCAGTGTGGTGTGCCATTATCATTGGTGGAACAAACTGGATACATGGATAATGCCATGTCAGGACCACCAACATTGTTCAAACATCTTCCAAAGGAATGGTGAGGCACCAATGAGAGGAAGTCTTTTGCAAGCTTATCTCTATGAGGAAGACACCTTGAAGATGACCAGTAAATAAGTGCATCCTGGTACCAGACAGGAAATCAGCAGTTAAGGTTAAAACAGCACAAGTGAGTATTACTACAGCAGAACTTACTATAGCTGAAACCGTAACATTGATATGGGCAGAAGATATGCGCAAATTCATCTCTAAAAGCACAAACATAAATTACACACAAATGAAAAGGTTTGATGTTGTGGACTGTTAATCATGGCACGTGACCACTCTTCTTTACATGCAGAACCATTTGAGTACAACTTGAGTTGCCCTCAAAGCATTTCCCTATCTTGTGATCACTCTGGTAAGAATAAATTAAAACTATGTATGCCATGTAAGAATATCCTGCCAGGCTTTTACATTTTGTATCAATTCTGTTCCAAATAATGACGGAAAGCAACCATAGAATGATAGAATCATGTGCCATACTCATGTTAAGAGAAACATAGTTGGAGTTAGGTAGTGCATAGATCATCTAATTGATCAGGCATGCAAAATGTTGCCTTGATAATATTATGCTATGGAATTTATAATTTGAGATTTTACACTTACATTTCTCTTTTCAGTTGATATATGGTAACTACGGCTGGTGTGAAATGATTTTCCAGCATATGTTACTTGCAAGTCATCATTGGCATGGTAACCAATAAAAATGTCCTCAAAACCAGTTGGCTTCCTACTAGCCTCCAGATCCAGATAAACACGAAGAGGCAGACCTTTCATTCTCTGCAAAACATATTACAGAACACTTGAAAGTGAGAATGGAGATAGAGAATATCAATTGAGAATACAATGAAGTAAAAAACATTATTATTCAAAAGAAGGAAAGTATTTGATTCGTAGGTAAGTCCAATGAAAGCTCGCAAAATTTGCAAAGCCGTAGCTATGCCACTAACCAAATGCCTAGCTACCAAAATCAAATCACCAATCAGAACAGCCAAATTAACTGACAGAACATTCAGCACTAGTAGTCTAAGTAAGGTGCAATTGGAAAAGGAGGCAATCAATGTACAGTACAGTAACCTCCCAATGCAGAATTTTTATACAGACAGGTTACAGGACCCAACTAACAATCAGACTTCTGAATTTTTCATTAATGAACCGAGGCAATGGGAAGCAATTTCTTCAGTGTTCTTTAGGAGAACTTGGATAAAGAATGCATCCCTCATTTCAACAAGAAACCTAATATCCGCTCCAAAAAAAAATTGCTGAATAGTATTATCAAGTATACACATGACATTTCGAAAACATTTTGTAACCTAACCAACATTTTGAAAAAGTTGAATGAAGGTACCATCCACGTTCGGTAGATACTCCTACCTCATTCACCAAACAGAAATGCTCCCCCAACCCACCCACCTTTTCATCATTTTTTTTTTGGTATACCAATTCTCTGATTCCACCACACGAGCATTACTGCGCAAGGATCTGAATTCATAACCAATTCGATCTCTCTAAGTGTTGAGGTACCCCAAATCTACCGGCTATCAGTTCGTCGCAAAGAGCCAGCTCGCAGCTGACGCCTCATTTCAACAACATAACAAATGATATATTCTCATATTGCCAGGACAAGAAAATAGGGAAAGAACTCCGGTACCTGCGGCGGCGGCGTGGCGCCCTCAAAGAGCAGCGCATCGGGGCGATCGACGGCGGCGGCAGACTTGCTCCAGACGCAGCTGACCCCGCACCGGCAGGTGTAGACGCCGTCGAGCGCGTCGGGGACCCACGTCCACCCCTTGACGAGCACGCCGACGTGGCGCGACGCCAGGTCCTCGCACCTACCGGCGGTCACCCCCCGCCACGCGGCGCCGCCGGTGACGGCCGCCGCCGCAGGGTCCACCGCGGTGTCGTTAGCGCCGGCGCCCGGCGGCGGCAGGCCCAGCCCCAGCCCGGCGGCGGCGGCGAGCTTGGCGCGGATGCGGGGGCAGCCGACGGCGGCGTCCCAGGAGGCGAAGGCCTCTAGGAGGGAGGTGAAGGGGTCCCGGTCGCGGGAGCCGACGGAGTCGAGCGCGGTGGGGAAGCGCGCCGCGAGGAGCGGCGCCGGGGTGGAGAGCGAGGTGGAGGAGATGGACGGGAGCTCGAAGTAGCCCGAGAGGAGGAGGAGCAGGATGGCGGCGGACGCGAGCATCGGGGCCACGTAGTTGATGCGCTTCCGGAAGAGCATCCCCACTTCGCGACCCTTCGAGCGAGGTGCCTCCACAGCGCCCGCTCGCCGGAGCGCGAGATCTCGAAGAGAGGGGAGAGGAGAGGCTGGCCGTGGGACGGAGTCGATCGGTCGGAACACGGAGGAGGGCAGTCGGAAGAAGGGGACCATTCTTCTTCTTCTTTAATTTCAGGAACTGACTATTCTTCTCGGACTTTGACTTTCCGAATTCCGATATAAAAAATAATCCATGGCGACTAATTAAAGATGTATACGTAGGGTACAGGTTTTCGCGTCCATTTGTCATTTCTTCTAGACAGAGTTTGCAAACAGCCAAAGTGCCAAACAAACACGTTCACAATGTTTTGTAAGAAAAGAAGACATGGCACTCACTCCGTGGCTTACATGGTGTTTAGCAAAACCTAATTAACATTGAATTACCAAATCGATCTCCGTTAAATTGTAAGTCGTTGTAATCTTTTTTTAAGTAAGCGGTTTATCTTAAAAAGTAAGAACGTCTTACAGTTTAAAACGTTTGAAACAGAAGTTTTTTCTTGTTCTAAATATTTATTATACAGAAGGACAGGCCTGGTGCGGTGGGGGGAGCTGTCTCGCTGAGTCATCAGGCCGTGGGTTCGAAGCAGCCTCTTCATAGATTTTACAGGGAAAGGCTTATATCGGGTTTTTCCTTTCCCAGACCCACTCACGTGAGAGCCTCCTGCACTGGGTCCCTCCACCCCTACAACTAAAAAAAGGAAAAAAAAAATCTAGTTGTTTCTTATCAAAGATAGTATGAACTCAAATGCACCTTAGCCCTCTGTACTTCTGCTAAGCTGAGCGTCGACCGCCATGGCTTGAAGATGAGAACAAGCGAGCGTGAGAAGATAGCGTGTGTTGTCGGTTGGGCGCCTAGGCCAGATGTTGCGTTGGGCCACCCAACAACAACCCATATGTGAAAGGTGTCAAACAGCTAATGAAAAATCATTCCCAAATTTGTGTCCAATTCATTCGGCTGCCAGTGCCCCACTTCTCAATAATCCTAGCAGAGCTGGCGACGCGCCAAAGATGACGCGTGGGGCATGGTGTAGTGATGAGGGCAAGAGCGCATGGAGTAGGAGTGGCGGCCGATGACACAAACGCATGGAGCAGGAACGACGTTCAACGGCTTAAGCGCATGGAGGCGGAGTAGGAGGGCAATCGGTGGCGCAAGAATGCCTAATGGAAGGAGGATATATATAGGAGCAAGAGCGACCCAATGAACACTAGGTACAAATTAGCAGAGGCGGAGCTTGACAAAGCAAATAGGAGGGTCCGATCTTGCTAAGCTAAAGCTATAATCACCATAAATAGTGCTAAAATTACTATTTATTTAGTGGAGCCTCTACAAACTGGTGAGCAGGCATGCTTGTTTGCTGTTCTGCATCGCCCTAGGGTGATTCTGCGTCTCTGTGGTCTGTGTATAGAGTTAAATTCTCCCCAGCTAATAAAAATTCCGGCTCCTTAATGTCTCGAATTGCAAGCTTTTTATATATAAAAGAGAGGGGCATAATAGTTTTAAAGTTTGTAATGCAAATTCCACCACAAAAGGAGAGCCATAAAAGGATAGTCTTTAACATTAGTTGTGGAATGTGAATTCTAGCTTTACACGTGTTCTGTGCACAATGCTGGGGGATGCCCCTTCCCTGAAAGAGTACAAGGCACTGCAGGTGCGATGAAGTCCTCTTGAACTTTTTCCTTCAAAAAAAAAAGTCCTCTTGAACTTGAATGAAAAAAAGTGTCGTACGCAATCGTTTAACCTTTTGTTTATTTTGTTCGGGGTCAGTTTGGACGTCGCCATAGGCCGCAGCCCGCAGGTAAGGGCGACGAGTCGTCCGCCCGCCAACTACACTCTTGGCGTGGTGTAGTGCGAAAAAATGAACTGTGGAGCCCTTTGACAAGTTCTGGCGGTGCTATCTCAAGACTCCAGCAGCCAGCCAAACGTCTGCCGAAACAAGGGCGTCCAAGTCGTCCTACAGTTTAGCAATGAACCAAATATAGAAGCTAAAGCCTGTTTGGTTGATGCAATGATGTCGTGGTTTGCCGCTTCTAATCTTAGCAAATTGCGGCTGCCACAAAACATGTAGCGAGCAAAATTGAAGATATACTTGTGGTAAAGTTTGCACAAAGATGATTCTATAACGTGAACAGTGGCTAAGAAAGTGTGGCGTACTAGATTTGTGGCAAGGAACCAAATAACTGCCGAAAATTTTGTGACATGATTGATTTTTGGTGTGACAAGTTTTGGTCACAAACCAAACAGACCCTTTAATCGTGCTTGCTTCAAATTTTCAATGCTATGATTATATGACATCATGTTAGCTCTAAGATAACAATTTTTAAAGCCACTCTTCCATAATTTCTAGCAATTAGCTTGGATGTAATACAAACACTAAGATCTTGTTTTGATGCACATGTATGTGTTGAAGTGGGTTAGGTTGGAATTTAGTTTAAATTCCACCTAACACACTCTAGCACATATATTAAGGATTTGAAGTGAATACATGTGCATCCAAATAAGCTGTAAATATATGTTTTGATTAGTAGAGCTGGCTAATATTTGAAGCTAAAAGAATAGCTTATTAGTTAAGGTTGACCAACTAGTTGAAGTCTTGGCTAAAAATTAGCCCACCAATTAGCTGGATGGACTAGGGTTATTAAAATTTAGTTGTCTAACCATTAGCTATATGCATTCAAACAAGACAAACTACTTTATTTCCTAGTAATAATAAGTCATAATTAACCTTAGATAAGTGTGGCAAACCATAAAATGTGTGGCTAGAAAATCTAGATCCACACTTTACCATGTCTGAGCACATATTATCATATTTTCTTACTCTCTGACACGTGGAGTTTAAAAAAAACTTGCTTAAATTATTTGCCAACCGAACATTTATTAACTTTGGTTAAACTAGTACAGTCGAGCAAGCAGAGAGCTTTTCGATCATGCACGATCAGCTATCCTAACAGCTACCTGCATTTGCCATGCGCTTTGTGCATCTTATTACTCCTACTATGAATCTATGATCTTGCACTGCGTTGCAACAAGAAGAAAATAATACCACGAGAATTTTGAGAGATGGTCTTATGCCAGTAAAGTTTTTTTATTACCTTTGCGCCCAAAGTTAATCTAGGGTCAGGCCTGATCACTATTTTTGGGCTGAAAACAAGATAGGTTTTTTCGGCCTGCTTGGCCCATGCTTCAGATCAAGAAATATCATCATGGGCACAGGCGCACAGCAGATCCTAGCCCAATAGGAAACATCAACAACCCCGACGGCCCACCCCGCCCGGCCGGCTTGACGCAACCCACGTTCGCTCTCCTCCGGACTGTCATCGCGGCGGCTCACCGGCTCCGGCGGTTCCAGACCGGTGTTCCTCAACCCGGTGTCGCGCAAGTCGCAACTCATCAGGCGGCGGTCTGGTGCCTTGTTCTTCCGTCGCGGCCTGCGCGAACCCCCGAGCTACTGGAGGCTGAAACCATTCCCCTCCCGCGCCTAACCGTGGTACAGCTATTACTGCGTTTCCTTGTAATGGATTATTCTTTCTTCTCTGTTGTGGAATTTGGTCGCCATGGATAACCCCAGTTCCCCACGCTGCATGAACTGGGGTGAATGCGCCTTAGGAGTCGAGGGGTGGAGGGGTGAGGTGGAACAATACGCTAGCCACCGAATGTCGAAGGGTGGAGGTGGAACAAGAACCGCCGGAGGCTAGAACCAAAATGCTGCCAACTGGATTAGGGTGGTGTTTTTTCCCTGTACTCCTTCCGATTTACGTGCGTTTAGATTATATATCGCATTGAATATTTCCATCTTGGATGAACATTTTGATATCAGATTACGAGAATATGAGCTGTTATCGTGCCTTTGATCTTGGAGGAACGCCTACTTATAACATTAACAACTGATGCTTTCTCATCATTGTTTTATGACTTCATCCTTGTTCTTACCTAATATTTCCATAAATGAACTTGATGAATCTAGCTTAGGAGTTGAGTTTTGTGTTTCTAGTTGTATGTTACTCCTACATGTTAAATGCTATGATATGATAAATAATTTAGCTCCAGTTTACTAATTATGGTCTTCAAAGTAGTTGACATAGACCTCGTACTGGTTTCCTATTTGTTGTTCCCCCATAAACCAAGATTTACTTTGGTATGATCATAGCTGTACTAAGAGTAAGATTGATTTGAAAACTTCTGCAAGAACCTGATTATAGCAAGAACTATGTCAGTATGCAACAGTGTGTTTTTTGAATTAAAGGACCAGAAAAATATTTTTCAATCATAGAAATGTGTTAGTGACGCTCATTGATCCAGTGTGTGTGTTAATTTTCTGCTCTTTGGATAGCTGGATCTAAGATTTTTTCCCCCTGTATTTTGATTAGTGTTTGTTGCACTATTTGTTGGGAGATTTAAGGTTTGTGGTGTTCCTTACCTAGTGTGTTGGTTTATGCCAAACGGTTTCTGAAACCTTATCCAAAGATGACCTCTTGCTTTAGTTTTATCATTACAATAGTGGAACTTGTCACGTTAGTTTCTTACAACTTATTTACTATCTCTTGTTACTAATCCTTTTTTTTTTGTTACAGCAACTGCATCTTTGTTTGACAATTCACTTCTTCTCCAGGGGTGTGAAATCTGCATATACAGAATTACGAGCAATATTACTGCTAGCTCTGGGCTATTGTGGTTTAGGAGAACATCAAGTGTGAAATCTTTTACATTCCAGGATAGTGTGAAATCTTTTACAGTCCAAGATAGGGTCCAACGACAGTGAAAGAAACTACAGAGGTGTAAGACAACATTTGCAAATTTTAGCCATTGGATACAAAAATGTCTCGATATCTGCAGAATATAAGTTGCAACAGTTGATCCCTTTGTTATTGATCTTGGATTCCTCGATCTTTTGATCACATCAAATTCACACAGCTCCCAGCATTTTTCTTTAATTGGGAATGTATCCTTGCCCTCCTAGCGGTCTCAAATCGTAAGGGTTATCCAAGTGAGCCATAGGGAACTCCTGCTCCTCCACCCACAGTTTCCACACCATCTGTCGTTTTCACAACCATCGTATACCATGACTTTCCCCCAACAACAAATTCTGCAGCAACACCTATACCCACACCATGTCCAATATGTTGTTGTTCAACCACAATATGCTCCTTTATCTCTACCACGTTCATCAACTCCAGCTTCTGAGGTTGTGTCAACACCACCACCACCTCCACCAGCTGGAGCTATGCCGTTACCAGGACCGCAAATCCCACCTCCACCTGCTAGAGTGGTACCATTTATGCCAGTGTCAGAGTCGGTCAGCCCCATTCAGTAACTGGTCTGGATGAACAAGACATTATTAGTGTAGACAATGATGGGAATGCTGAACCAGATAGGACTGCTGGCGATTGAATTGGACGAAAGTGGGGGACTTAAGATTTGTATGAAAGTTTTTTGCATAATTTCATCTAATGTTGCTCAGACCTTATATTTTTCGCCCTTAATATATTTTTTCCGGAATATTCAGATTAGCGCTTGGTTGAACAGTTCCAGGTTGAGTAGTTCTAAGAAGAATGTGGTATACTGGGCGAATGTTACGGGTGTGTACAACAGAGACACCTCAAAAGATCAGAAATGGGCACGTGTGCAATTGAAGTACCACTGGCAGAAGATTAGTAAGAAGATTGCCCACTTCTATGATTGTTAGTGCCGAGTCCAGGCAAAACATTCCAGTGTTCAGTCTGAGAAAGTGCAACTGATGGACAAAACATGGGCGATGTACAATGAGGAAGCACGAGAGATGTACCTTGAGAAGATGAAACATCATTCTGCCTTCAGCCACTGTTGGAAATCTGTTTGGGATCAACCCAAATGGAAAAGACACATCTCTTCTTTATGCCCCAACAAAACCAGTTGTCTGAGTCTGGGGATTGCATGTCATCCTCTGAAGATGCACCTGAAACAGAAACAGGCGAACAAGATAGCATGTCTGCAAAGAAGAAACAGGAAACAGAGTTGCAAGAACCAGGTTGTTCAGAGTTGCAAGAAGACATCCAGTGCCCAGGCCCCAGAAGACATTCAGTGCACTGCCTCATGTCTCGCAGCGATGGTGCCACCCTTGGCCACCAGTGCGTCGAGGCCGCGGTGCTCGCGGCCCCCTTGGCCCCCCCGCGCGTCGAGGCCATGGTTGCCCACTCCCTTTCCCACCGCTCGTCGAGGCTACAATGGCATCCGCCCCCTCGGCCAACCGTGCGTCAAGTCCACTGCAACGGCACCTGTGTTGAGCAAGCAGCGATGAAGAAGCCGAGAAGACATGGCTCGTGCTGCAGATCCGGTGAGGAGAAACGAGAGTTCATTCAGAGCGTGGTTTCTTGATTTTTTTATTTATAATCCAATGGTTTAAAGTTTAAGCTGTCTCTATTAGCAAGAGCCTAACTAATTACAATAGCAACGGAATTATGAAGTGACTATATATTTTTGCATTAAATATAATTTTCTTCTGTAACTTTCTACCTTTTATTTATGTTTACAGAAGATGCATGAGCTATAATGCCCAATACCAATAGGGTGAATCATATAATAAAAAAAAAGCAATGATTCGATTGCACAGTTTGAGTATTCAAGGACTATGTTATCCAAAATAATATTTAAGAGACAAAGCCCTACTGTTCATTGCAAAAATTCTTCAATAAATATACTAAATCATTTTTAGTCCATGGTTTGAAGAATATTGTCAGATTTGTTAAAGTTATATCTAAGTGTCAAATTGGCATGTGCCCTACTACTAAGGAGGAACCTATCTGTCAAAGGCTATGATAATTTTTTGTTCAATGCATGTGTTTATATGTAGACTTTTTGCTTCAGTTTGACATAATAGTCTCTCATTAGTATTATCCTTCACGTTGCAATTTCCTCTCTAAATTCTGCGGCAACGCGCGGGGAATTCTTCTAGTTATTATTCATACATGATGCCACATTTCAAGAGCTCTTAAGATAACATTTTGCTACAGATGCTTAATAACACCGACCCGTAACCAGGAAGTCTGTTCATTTTGTCGTAAACGATCGTGGATTATTTACTGCTGACTGGTTTGGTATGAGAGAAAAATATTGTTCCAGCTTATAATCCACGATCATATACGAGCAAACGAACAGGCTGAAAAATGTGCACGCATCGACAGATCACAGGCTGGAGGAGCAGACCAAAACCAATATCATGAAAGTGCATGTGCTTCTGTAGTGCTTACTGCTTATCATCATGCATGACAACAGGCAGATGCCACATGTTCTATTTGTCTATTTCTCAGAAGAACATGCAGACGCCATGTTCATTTCTGATGACGAAAAAGAAGACTGTTCATATCATTTCTCGTTCCTTTTTTTCAGCTGGCAGAACGCTATGGCAGCTCACAGCCACACCAGACTAGCGTTTGCGACTTTCACACGGCTCAAAAACCCAATATTAGGATTAATCTTGTCATATATACATATTAGTGTTAAACATGCGTGTATAGGTCCAGATGGCTCCTGAATGGGAGCTACATGAAGACAACTTTTGAAGTCTCTAGTACTAGCTAGGTTTTTTTAAGCCTCTTATCTGGGTACAGTTAGTACCATCTGTTCATTAGTACTAGCTAGTTGTTAGTTCAGCTAATCAACTTAAAGTTTACCATTGTAAGAAGCAAGCAGCTAGGTTGAAAATGGAGCATAACTGCATATTGGTTTTTACTTCTAGCTGTACCTTCAAAATCCGAGAAAGTTTTGTAGTAAAACTTTTTTGGTGCAATGAAAACTGATACCTAGAACAAAACCATGCTCTATTATAACTTGGATCTAATTATACAATGATCCTGCAGGTCATAGGTATGCAAAATTCCTCCAGGCCAGAGCTACGCGTGGAGTAGACGATCATGCTCCTGCAGGTAGGAGTACATTCAGTCTGGTCTCTTAGCAAATACTAGTAGTGATATAGATAAGATAACCCCTGCTTGTTGCCCGTGGGCTCCGCAAAGGGCCAGAACCAGAGTGTGAATCACAGCCTGACTGACACAAGATCATGTGTCATTGATCGACCCATAAACCCCGATAATTTGCACGCAGATCGACAGATGGCATGTGATTCCGTGGTTACTTAACATGATAGTACTTACTTGTGTGGTCCCTTCCCTCACTAGCATGGTGATCCCTGAGTCCTTGATCTTGTCTGTCAGTCAGTGAGTAGCAGAATCCCAGACGGAGGTCAACAAATTGCAGAGATCAGATCATAATACCAAAGGAAACTGCAAACTAGCTGCATAGTGCCTATCATGCTTTCCAACTCCAGCATCAGCATGTGCTTCCCAGCCAGTTTCTCAGCAAAGAGATGCTTCATGTGGGCCCTGTTCGCTTGAACTTATCAGCCGTACCGTTTCAGCGATATAACAGTGTTTTTCTTTCACAACAAATCAGCATCAGCATCGGCCGTTTTTCCAGCCAGCCGATCAGGGCATGTCCCCCGTACTGGTTCGCATGAAGGTACTGTCCTTCCAGCCATGAAAGTACAACGTAGTGCAAGTGCTTATACCTGTTGAAATAAAGAAAATTACTTATCACCTTTCTGCACACATACCTTTGAAGATATCAGCAGTTATTTCATCGACTGATACTATTTTAGTTTGTGCAAACTGATGACATGGGGATGCCATCACCAATCGCCATCACTGTAGATGATACCTTAAACAGAATATAGCCACACTGTTGTATCTAGCACCAGAATACAGGTAGCAATCCATTGATCACTCACTCACAATGAGATTGAGGCAACACAGGAGAAGCTCAATAGTAGGCTTCCAACAATAAAGGTGGTACATAGGATACAACAATCTCAAACTGGGACAACTCAAGCAGAACTTCCCAGCAAAGTACAATGCAATGGAAACAAAGGCGATGGGTGCTATACTACAGAGAGAGGAATTGAACAAAGAACAGAGATGATGGTGCATCTGAAGCTGCCCAAGATCGACCCAGCGATACATCTAAAGCTGACTGAGATTATCTATATTCAGTTCTGCCCCTTCTTTTAAGCACTCTGAAAGTGCTCAGAAGGTAACATCGAGAACGAACCACCAGAAGGCTCTCCTGTAAATCCATCAGCTGGCCCAAAACTGAGATTGAAGGAACCAAAGTTCGCTGTCGACAGGAAGTCATCATTACAGCCATCAAACCCTTTGATATCCAGCGCATTGTTATCCCCTGAGGAGGCACCCCACATGAAGCTGCTTCCCATGGAGTTTGGGACTTTTGTTGATTCCTGATGGCTCCCTGCATGACTGATCTGGTCTGAGCAAGTCTTTGGCTCCTCTGATGGCAATGCCGGCGTATGGCCTTGGAACAGAGCTACATGTGCGAAAAGCTTGTCCTTCCTTGAAAAACTTGTTCCACACGAGCACAGCCACTTGTCCCGGCCACAGTGCTTCTCATGCGTCTTGAGGTCAGCCATGACGGAGAACTTCTTGGTGTGGCACCGGCTGCAGGTGTAGCTCTTCTCGCAGTGGCTCCGCTTGTAGTGGTTCTTCACGCACAGGATGGTCTTGAGGGGCTGGAAGTTCTTGTGCAGCTTGTTCCGCTTGCAGCTGACAAACGGGCACGAGTACCTCTTCACCAGTTCATGCTCCGCGCTTGCGTCTCTTGGTGGCTTGGCTAGTGCAGCTGGGCTCTTGTACTCATCGCCATGCCCTCTCATGTGCATCCGCAGATTCGCATCCCTCTTGAAACCCTTTCCACAGATGGAGCAGAAGTGTGTGTGCGGAGCCAATATCTCATCCTTCTCCAGCTGCAGTAACTCGCACGAACCTGGCGGTAGGTTCTCTCCATCTTTGCCTTCATCGCCATCCTTCATATCCTGCTCCTCGACAAGAACATTGCCGATTTCAATGCCTTCTTTGATAGTACCATCAGTCCATCCCTTGAAAAGTTCCTCATAGTCTTCAGGGCTACACATGTCCTCCTTGTTCTCTTCAGAAACGGTCATCGCATTAGGAACTAAGCCTGAGCTTGGGCCAACATGGTTAGCCATGTCCATGTGCCCAGCAGCAGGATGTCTCAGAAAGGACGAGTTCTTCAGTGACGGGAGAAGGCTCCCGGCGGTAGAGATGAGCTGAACTATAAGGCATGTCAGGTCTGCATTAACCACCTGTTTCTTCTGAGCGATCTCACCTTGGTGGCACGAAAGCTGGCCACCACTGTCCACCATTGTATGGATGACATCCTTCACTTGCCGTATCTTCTCCTCGATGAAGGTGAGGTTGTCTAGCATCGTAGCAGGGTTCCAGTCCATGTGCGGGATATTGGTGGATGGTGAAGCGCCGAACGGCGAGGTGAATGGTGGAAACTGCTGCTGAGTCCCCAAGCCAGGGAACGAATTGTCTGAACCGAACTGGTAGTAGAGGTTGGCAGCAGATTGATTGTGGATGTGGTTCTGACTGAGATCCATTGTCGATGAACTTCTGAAAATCCCGTGTTTGAGTTCAGAGGATGACCCTAGTCTACAAAAGAAGATTTGAAACCCAACGGTTCATCAGAACCTGTAGATCTGAATATTCATCGTTTGCAGATATTTGGGTGCATATGAAAGCACGAGTCATTAGTTGATTAATAATGGATGTAAAATAGCACCGCAGAGAAAATTTCAACATATTCCAGCCTTCCAGGAGGTTTTTTCAAGCATGACACTAGGATTTGGGCACTGCTGTCACGAAGCAGATCAACCTTTTGCACTACAGTGTAAAACAAGCATGATCTTATATTATGATAAAAAAAAGTGGTGTAACCTTTAGGTAAAGGGATTATGTTTGGTGTTGAGAGAACAGAGCAGCCACAAATTTGACAGGATTTGACGCAAATACAAATAATCATGGATGATAAAATAGGGGGAGAAAAAGGCCATTATCGCTCTCGTTTGGATGTCTCTCACGTTTGTTTCACCCAAGAACGCCGGTCCCCTTTCCGTTCTCGAGATATCTCAAAGAAGAACGGCCTCTCCTCTCCGTCAACGGTACGATGATGCAATATCCAGACAGAAATCGAACTCTTAACGACTTTTATTCAAGAAAATCTAGCAAGAGGCACATACCAGAGAGGAGGAGGAGGAACCGCCGGCGGCGGCGGTCGCCACCATGCGGCGGGAGCGGGGCGGGCAGGAGGAGGACGGCGGAGGAAGGAGCGGGGAAGCAGGCAGGAACCAAGAACCATACTAGATCATGGAAGGAGCTAAACGTTGAAATTGAGCCCCCCCTAAACATCACTCCTAGATCCGATCCGTCCCTGATTGTGCCTTGGTTAATCACGTGCGCAACCAGCCCACGAAGCAACACATTGGCCCATGAGCCCCTCGCAGCACTGCTTCATCCTGCATACACTGGCTGGCCCAATGTAGTTGATCTGCACATATTGGCCCATGGACCCTTCGTGGCGCTCCGGGCAGCAGAGCATACACAAAGGGGCCAAGATAATTCAGGTTTGTTCTCATCACCGTGTACACTGGTCACTGTTTGCACATAGGGAACGAGTCTTGTTTAAATTAGCCATATCTACTACTCTCTCCCCCATTTAAATCATAGATTATTTCAATTTTATTTAAGCTAAACTTCTCTAAATTTAATCAAGTTTATAAAGAACACATGAATATCAAATTAGTTTCACTAAATTGTCCATACGATACGTGCTGGCAGTGCATTTATTGAACTTGTATATGTTAATATATATATATATATATATATATATATATATATATATAAAAACTTGATAAAAACTATAAAGTCTAAATTAGAACAAGACCAAAATAACCTATAATTTCAAACTAATGGAGTACTTTACAAAGATTGTAGTGGTGGTGGCAGTGCCTCACTCAAATGACAGATCTTATATTGCAACAGATGCAAGTATAGGACGGGATCTTCTACTTTCCTTGCCTAATCCATTTCCTCCCCACTCAGCAGGCCCCTGCCAAGCCACTCCACTGTGCGGCGTCCTCCTGCCTCCAACTCATACACCTGAACTCTAACTCTAGTCCTCATGGCACGATGACTACAAATCTGCGACTAGTCTTTTTGTCGTCATCGCCCACTCGCGCCATCTCCAATACTCTCCTTGCTTCTGCTTACTACCATTACCAAAACATGGACATTTAACTTAGTTCATAAGAAGATGTTGTTATCACCTGCATTGTGAATGCGAATCTCAGTAAGACTACCCATAACATTGCTTTTTAGTGATGTTGAAAGAGCAGAAAGAGCATTGGAGCATCGAGATGAGCCATTGTACAAACCGATGCTGCACAAAAAAATCACACTACTCGAGTCATCTTCTTTTATCGGCGATGTTAAGCAATAAAAAGTATTTTATTTTCTAACAGATTTTGGTTCCACCTATCTTGAAGCATTGATATGGACCCTGCAACTTTAAATAGTTTTTGGGCATCGATATGAGCTAGCACAGGGACGTTTTCTTTTCAACATCTTAACCCACTAATCCTGTGGGTAGTCTAAGTATCCTCGTCTCCATTTACAGAAAAAAGGGTAATGTTCCCATCACTGCTTCGCTGGTAAATAATATAGCTCTCACTGATTTTTAATATCCGATGATTTTGTTTCTCCAATACACAAAAGATTTGCGCTTATTATCGTAATTAAGTTTACCCATACAAACGACACGCTTCTAATGAGCGCTCTAGGAGGTCTACAAAATTATAGCCGGATGCTAGACCTTCCTAGCATATAGATATACGACTACTAATACACAGTTTATAAAAAATAAAAAAGCCACCAACTTTCTTCATCATCTTTTGAACAATACAAACCTGCCTTGCGATAGGTGAAGGCGTATTTTTCAGAAACTCCGCCTTACAACGGTACCCGCCAAAATGATCTGCGCTACATTTCACTCTACAGTCTACATACAGTACTCGTGCGCGCACGGGACAAAAACCAACCACCGCGCACCAGGAGAGCCGGCCACGCCATCGCCCGCCATGGCTCCACTCCTCCTCTCTCTCCCCCTCCGCCTCAGCCCCATCCCCGCCGAGAGCTCCACCTCCCGGATCGCACCGAGATCACGATCCCCTCGTCCCTTCCCCAGGCGGCGCCTGCGCCTTCCCGCCCTCCTCCAAGTCCAATGCCTCGCGGCCCCCGGGCCCGCCGCCCCCGCGCCCGCGCCGCGGTGGCACGCGGCGCTGTCCGCCGCGGCGGGGCTGTACCCGGCCTACGTCGCGGCCGGCGCCTCCGTGGCCGTCGCACGCCCCGAGGCGTTCCGGTGGTTCGTGGCGCTGGCGCCGGGGTCCTACACCGCCACGCTCGGCTTCATCATGCTCGCCATGGGCCTCACGCTCCAGCTCAGGGACTTCGCCGCCCTCCTCCGCGATAGGCCCCTCGCCGTACGTGACCGGACCCGGATTCGGATCCCTTATCGCTCGATCTGCAGATTTTTGTTGGTTGATTGATTCAACAAGGTGTTTTCCTGCTGGCTGCTGCAGATTTTGTTCGGGTGTGCCGCGCAGTACACCATAATGCCAGCGTTTGGCGCGATCGTTAGCCACGCGCTGGGGCTTCCCCCGTCCCTCTCAGCTGGACTCATCCTGCTGGCTTGCTGTCCTGGAGGAACTGCATCCAACGTGGTAAGACTGTCAGCTGAACCCAGTTTGTCACACTCCCAATTTCTGTTTTTTTTTCCTTCTATTTTATTCCTATGGCCAAATTCACTTCGCCGGTTTATTTACTGAAGTGAACTGAAAGCTTGAAGGGCCAAACTAAGAATAGCTATGCAATTCAGAGTTCAGGCTCTTGTGTTCATTGAACATTGGAATTAAGATGCCAATAGTAGCAGACTACTTGGTTGTTTTTAACTTCAGTATAAGCTAGCTGCTTTTGAAGTTCCTACACGCACTAAAAGCAGAAATGTACACATTTGACCTATTTACATGACAATACTACACAACTTCTGAAAAATTGAAAAAAAAGACTGTTGCAATTTGTTAACAGCTATAAGGAGTTCTGTTTTCCTGCTTCATGAGTCTTTTTTTATCCCCAGATGTATTGGTAGTCTATTGGACACACATGGTCAGGCAACATTTTTTTTTTGGATTTGTTTCCTGGATTCTCTCTTACCTAATTGTTTCATATAGCGGTTCAGGTGACTTTAGTTGCTCAAGGTGATGTTCCATTATCCATCGTGATGACTGTCTGCAGCACTCTTGCTGCAGTGTTCCTTACTCCTCTGTTAACGAAAATTCTTGCTGGTGCTTATATTCCTGTGGATGCTGTGAAGCTCTCTCTCAGTACTTTGCAGGTGAAATTTCTGATGCTGTCATTGCATAACAAAAATTACTCCTATTTTCTCTAACCTTTTTCCCCTTCAGGTGGTTGTTGCCCCAATTCTTTTAGGTTCATCGATACAAACTGCATTCCCATCAGTAGTTCAATTTGTGACTCCTTTTGCACCTCTGATGGCAGTCTTGGCTTCATCGCTTCTGGCAAGCAGGTTCATATCCTTCAAATTTACCATGCCATATTGGCTTGGAATAGCAGAAACTCTGCATCCTTTTACCCTTTCTTTAATGTTACAGTGTCTTCTCTGAGAACTTTGTGCGCCTAAGATCGACAATTGCCGATGCATCCTCTGTGAATCAAAACTTCTTCTCTGGAGATATCGGGATTGTCATGCTCTCTGTGTTCTTGCTGCATTTCGCTGGTTTCGCTTGTCGGGTGAGCACTAGAATGCTTACTATACCCTTTATGTGTAGTGCGCTTCACAAATTCTGTATCAGAAGTTGTGGCCACTTGTCATCCAGATTTCTAAATGTTTACATGGCTCTATGACAAACAGGTATACAGCAGCAGCTATAGGTGGTTTCAAAGAAAAACAAAGGAGAGCAATATCTATTGAGGTATGGATCCTGACCAGATCTAACCACATTTCCCAATCAATATGGCCAGTAAAATGGAGGATTTATATATCCAGTTTTGAAACCATGTATAGAATACTAAATTAGACAAAGCAAGCAAGTTTTCCAGCACACTTACATTTAAATTAAGAGGTGTACAAACAGCGGACAAGGCTGCATTTTTGCAGATCATATGTTGTCTGAAAACATCACTTATTTGTGACCATAGAGATTAGTACCTGTAGACTATTATATTGTATGTAGTGAGTGAAGCTCATAAATTCCAAGCATGGATAAGAAATCTTGCAACAATAATTCTGTCGCTTTGACCATGTTTTTTGTACAATGCTTTCTACTTGATTGTCTTTCAGAACTGCAATGAAGAGAATTAATTTGTGCATGGTGTTATGAAAAATGCTCAATGTTTAATAGGTTTTCTTCTTCTGGATTGCAGGTAGGAATGCAAAACTCATCCTTAGGGGTAGTTTTAGCAACTGCACATTTCTCCTCGTCCTTGGTCGCCCTGCCTCCTGCACTCTCAGCTGTCATCATGAACATGATGGGTAGCACACTAGGTCTCATATGGCAATCTATCAGTCCTTCTGTTTCAGAGAACGAAACCACTGACATAACCAATGCATGATCTACTCTTACTGTCGTGTGCTTAACCTCCTCTGTCATATCTACTACTCAAATATGCGCAGCGTTGAAACCCTGACCGTATACCTTTTGAGTACTTTTGATCGTTTTGGGGAACTGGGGTCACTGATGATTCTGGAATGTTGGCTTTGTGAGCCTTGGAACAATCTTGCTATCTTAATTATTGGAGGACCCAGGTCTGGTCTACAGACAACCTGTCTGAATTATATGGGTGAATGACTGAATGCCCAACTCTGGTGTACGGACGGCATTAAAAAAAACTCTGATCTACGGACGGCGAGGCATGATGGGATAAGTCTCATGTGTTGGTCTTTGTGGCGCTGTGCTGGTTATATGATCTTTGTGGCTGCATGGTCTGTTTTTATGATAGCATAGGACAGTATCTTAGACTAGAGGACAGCATCTTAGACTAGTATCTAGAGGACAACATCTTAACATCTAGGACAACATCTTCGACTAGCATATTGGCATATGCTTGGCTGGCTAGCAGCCTATAAATATGTATCCCCAACCCCTCAGGTTGGCATGGCGTTTGTGTGAGAAATAAACCAGAAAATTGCCCCAACTCCTAGTGTCATCCTCTCTCGATGAGAGTAAGAATTCTGCTACTACCGAGAGTGAGAGTTCAACGACTAACAACCGTGTGTCGAGCCAGTACTATCCTCAGAGCTTTGAGCATCTCCTGCTCATCTCCTTTCCCAAACCACTATTAACAATGCCCCCAGCCAGCGAGCGAGCAGCTCTAGCGCTCCTCTGCTCCTCCTCGTCTGGCAGCCCCTCTCCCCATGCAAAGCAGCCCCCCGTAGCGCGTCATGTCCGTAGAGGCGATCTCGGCCTTCGATGCACGCGAGCACGCGGCGTCGGCGGAGAGCCGAACTTGTCGCGCAGAGGAACGCGAGAAGCGGCGGCAGCAGAGACCGCTGCGGTGGCGGCAAGGGCAAGCGTCGGTGGCAGGCCGCGGAGCTGGCAAAGCAGAGCGGAGGCGGAAGCAGGCGGCGGCGAATGAATGCAACGGCGTCTGCGGCAGCGAGAGTCGGTCGAGGCCTCAGCGGCATCAGCGAGCTCGTTCTGGCACGCGACACCGCCGACGTGGACCTCGAGCTGCTAGAGAGGGAGGCGGCGAGCACGGCAGGGTAGCGCGATGGCGCGCAGCCCACGCGCCGCGCCGGCAGCAGCGTGGCGGCGCTGAGCCGGCGGCGCGCGCGGAGGCGCGCGCGATGGCGGCGCTCTTGGGCAGCGCGCGCACGACGGCGCTCTGGCAGCAGCCACGCGCACGCGCGCGCCGCGCGCGGCGCTCTGGTGGAGCGCGCGCGCGACGAACCGGCGCGGCGCTCTGGAGGAGGCGCGCGCGCAACGGTGGCGACGGGTCAATGGAGCGCGCGGCCTTCACGAGTGCGGCGTGGCTCTCTCTCCCGGATCGGTACCGACGGGCCGATGGAGAGCGCGCGGCCTTCCACAGCAGCGTGGCTCTCTCTCCGGATCGGTACCGTGGTTACCACGGCTCCGTGTCGTTGTCGTGGGCGTCGGTCCCGGCGATGGATGGCCTACCCTCACCAAGACCAACTACGCCGAGTGGGCTGCGGTGATGAGGTAAAGCTCCAGTGCGGCACATGTGGGAGGCGATCCGATTCGGGCGACGTCGACTACGACCTAGATCGACGGGTCTTTGGATGCCCTCATCGCTGCAGATCCCCGCCCGAGATGCGCTTCGCTTACTAACAAGCGGATTGCCAAGGAGGCTTGGGGCGCCATCGCCGCGCACGCACGCATCGGCGCCGACCGCGCCCGCAAGTCCACACCGCAGCACTTCGCAAGGAGGGGGAGAACTTGGCCTTCAAGCCAGGTGAGGACGTTGATGACTTTGCTCTCCGTCTCAACACTCTGTTGTAGAAGATGGTGCAGTTCGGCGATGACACCTCGACGAGGAGAGAGCTGTCGAAAAGCTCTTTCGCTGCGCGCCCCCCAGAAGTACAAGCGGATGGCTCGCTCGATCGAGTCCTCGCCGGATCTCTCCACGATGTCGATCGAGGAGGCGATAGGTCACCTCAAGGTCGTCGGCGATGATGAGCCACGCCTCTCTCTCGGGGCCCATCACCACTGGTGGGAAGCTCCTTCTCACTCGGGAGTAGTGGCTTGCCAGCCAAGGTGACCGGAAGAAGGGGGAGCCTTCTTCTGCGACAGGCGGTCGCAAGCGTGGCAAGCCACGCAAGGCACGCAGAGACGCCCAGGCCGGGGCGCGAGGACGTGTCGAGGGTGATGCCCACGGAGGCGCCTAGGCGGCGCCCGCCCGGCAGTACACAAGCCAACCACGAGACGACGCTCGCCGCAATCTGCGGCCACAACCATTGGGCCAAGGATCGCCGATACCACGACGCAGCGGCGAGCCCACGTCGCCAAAGTGAGGAGGAGGAGCCGGCTCTGTTCATGGCACATGCAAGCATCGAGCTACCTCCAGCGGCACCGGCCGTAGCGGCCCTCCTCCACCTTGACGAGCCAAAAGCACACGCCCTCCTCGGCGATGGCTCCAGCGACGACAAGACTGACAGGTGGTGCCTCGACACTGGTGCCACCACCACATGACCGGTCGACGGGAGTTCTTCACCGAGCTTGACTCTAGCGTCCGAGGCTCCGTCAAGTTTGGGGATGCCTCCGACGTGGAGATCAAGGGCGTCGGCTCTGTCATCTTCACCGCCGTGTCTGGTGAGCATAGGCTGCTCACCGGAGTCTACTACATCCCCGCGTTGAGGAACTCCATCATCAGCTTAGGACAGCTGGATGAGAACGGTTCGCGCGTGGTGGTTGAGGATGGAGTCATGAGGATTTGGGATCGCCGTCGTCACCTTCTTGCCAAGGTATCCAGAAGCTCAAATCGACTCTACGTCCTCAACGTGCAGGTGGCACAACCCCTATGTCTCGCTGCTCGTCGGGATGACGAGGCGTGGCAGTGGCACGAGCGCTTCGGGCACCTTCACTTCGAGGCCCTGAAGCGGCTCAGTGCCACGGAGATGGTGCGAGGCCTGCCATGCCTCGACCATGTGGAGCAGCTCTGCGACGTCTGCGTGTTGACGAAGCAGAGGCGACTCCCCTTTCCCCAGCGGGCGAGCTTTCGAGCCAAGAAGAGGCTCGAACTTGTGCACGGGGACTTGTGTGGCCTGGTGACACCGACCACACCGGGAGGACGACGCTACTTCCTACTGCTCGTCGACGACATCTCCCGCTACATGTGGGTGATGGTCCTCGGCAAAGAAGGGAGAGGTCATGCGGGCGCCATCGAGCACTCGCAGAGCTACTGCGAGGCGCGAGTCGGCCGCAAGCTGCGCGTCTTCTGCGCGACCGACAATGGCGGCGAATTCACGGCGGCTGAATTCGCGTCGTCTTCTGTTGATGAGGACATTCGGCGCCACTACTACTCCCGCCATGACAGCCCACAGCGTGAAGCGCGTCGTCGAGCAGCAGCAACTAGGCGGTTGTGGGGATGGCTCGGGCCCTTCTCAGCGGAGGGGATGCCGGGCCGTCTTCTAGGGAGAGGCGGTGGTGTCGGTCGTCTACATCCTCAACCGCCGCCTACCAAAGCGCTCGATGGCGAGGATGCCGTCTGAGGCTTAGCATGGGCGCAAGCCGGCGGTCTCCCACTTGCGGGTCTTCGACTGCCTCGCGTTCGCCAAGGAGCTTGGCCACATCAGCAAGCTCGACGATAGGAGCACTCCGGGAGTGTTCATCGGCTACGCGAGGGCTCAAAGGCCTACCGCATCCTCGACCGAAGACACACAGGTGGTGCGCGCCGGCGGCTGACGACGGCGTTGTGTTCAACGAAGGAGCGAGATGTAGGCGGCTCTTCTTCGGGCGCGTCGACCCTAGTCAAGCCGGTGGGCGCATTCGCAGCTCTCGCTCCGGCCCGGACCTCGACGCGATTTTTCACCGTCGAGCACGTCCGCCGCCCACTTCGAGGGGAGCCACGGGGAGTAGGCGGCTCTTCTTCGGCGAGCGCGCGTCTACCCCAGTCTCACGAGCCTCCACCGACCCGGCGCACCATACCGTCAGAACCTTCGACAAAGACCACGCTCTCCGGCGGGACCTCGGTGCGCGATGAGTTCTTCACCACTCCACCACCGAAGAACCGCAACGCCACCTCCGTGCACGGCGATCCGACAAGTGGGTGTACAGGCAAGACTCCGGCATCGCCTACCCCACCACGGCAGGGGGTGTGTTGAGCACGGCCCGGATGAGCTCGCGACTCGCTACTCCGCTCTCTCACATGACGAGGGTGTTCCTTAGCGCGTCAACACGCATACTCCGCTGCGCCAAAGGCCCTCTACTGCGGCGGGCACCAAGGTGAACCGCTAAAGGGGATGCTTTGAGCCCGTGCGAGGCGACCATCTACCGACGCGACGATGGAGAACCTTCTCGCGACCGGCCTTGGTGATCACCGGACCGGTGCCTCATGACACGGTGGCGCGGGCCTGCACCTTGCGTCGAGGTGCACGACGGTGAGCCTAAGTCGTTGCGAGAGGCCGAGAGACACGCGGCATGGCGCTGCTAAAAGCGATGCAATTGGAGATGGATGCGGTTGAGAAGAACCGCACCTCGAGCTAGCTTCGAATCGACCATCCTCGTGGTTACCGCGCGATCACCCTTAAGTGGGTGTACACCATAGCCTCTAAGAGGGATGAAGCCGGTGCCATCGCATCGACACCAGCAAGCACGAAGGGGATCCTCTTCTTCCTCGACAAGTGCCTCGTTAGGCGGTTTCATCATGCGGCAGGAGGTGGCCTGTCGACTTGACGAGCGCATTTACTCTCGCTCATGTTTGCACGGATGGAGTCCGTCACGACTCCTCCTGGACCGCGCTTAGCTCAGCCTAGGAGGGCAAAACCGGCGCGTGTTCATTACATGGACGTCGAGTCGGCGTGAATTAACTAAACTCGACTTGAAGGAGGAGGTCTCGACAAATTATAAAAAAGTATCATCACGGTGTATCTTACA